TTAAATATATTTTTTTCTTTTTTCGTGATTTCCTGCGAAACAAAGCAAAAAGGAGCATATGTCTATAGGACTTTTTTTCTTAGTTTTTTACTCCTCTACACGCTCCCGAAGTTTTGCCATTTAATTTGGAAACACCCTGTATATTTTTAATCGTATATAAACTACATATTTTTATTTGTATAATATTATTTGATTATTTCTTGAATAAAAATTTTAACATCTAGAATACATTTCATATTTTTCCTATTTTATTTTATCTACGGATCTTTTACCAATTCAGGACTTAATTAGAATTACTGAACAGAAAGCCGGTGTCTTAAGGTGCTCGCTTACAAGTCACCTGCGCTTTACAATTGAATTTGAAAGTAAAGAAAGTTAAGTGATTAAGGTCAACAGGGAAGCTTAACTTCTATTTAACTCCGAAGTAAAACTTAAATGAAAAATGTCTGAGATTGATCGTAAAATAGATCGTCGGGAATAATATTAGAATTGCAATGTTTAATCCCCATAACGTGATACCCTTATTAAGAAAAAAGAAAAGTAAAAAGAAGATGGAATTTACAACAGCAATTATAAACTTTATTAACGAAAGTTATACTAAACAATTTTCATTTATCGCTGACCTGAGTATCGTGTGTTCATCAGCAGCGGTTTTGTCAGCATAATTTCTCGCTGCCAGCACAAAACAAGCTTCTGCCTCGTTCATCCTGGCTCTCGCAAGATCACCATCCTTCAGGCACGAGCCCTGTATGTAGATTACCCTCTGCGCCCAGATTGGCACTTGCAGGATCATCCGCATTGTGGTATCGAGTTCCATCGGTGATAAAAGCACCACATAATAGTCCTACTCGTATTCAGATCATTTTCAATCATTAACATTAAAAATGATAAAATAAATAAAAGCGAAAGCGTATAGAAAGATAAATAATACAATTAATTAACGCTCTCCATATCATTTTTTAAGTCATTGCAATACCGTAGATCTTTATAAGCGCACCAGGAATATATTGGATATTTTTATTCGTAATTATTTCATAAAAAAATAAAATTAAAATTATTTTTTTTACAATAATTGCATTTTTATATCCCATTCAGCAATTTATTTTTAATTTTTACAAATCGCGTTGTACTCGTGATTAAAATTAAGTTCGATGACAACAATTTTAAATTTAATTGCGTCAGCTACTTTAACTATGATAAACTGAAAGCTTGATAAAGAATTTTTACAAAATCACAAATCGTCTAGTGCATAATGAAATATTCAAGACATGTAATTCGTTCGTCGCCTAACCTGCAGCAAGGGATGGGCGTAAAACTCGTTTAGAAAGTCCATAATGGTGTCGGCTTGCAGTGTCGTACTGCAAACTACCACGTGCTTCTCGCTTTGCGCTCTGTGTGATGAATACGAGCCACCAAGCTTCTGTCTCTCCATCCATGTGAATGCTAACTGTTCGAACTGTAATCAACATGAGATTATTATGCAATCAACTAATATTTACCTTATATTTGCATAAATCATAATAAATCAAAATAGGAAATCGCGTTATTCTATATATAAATTTTATTAGATTAATAGATCAAATAAATAAACAAAAATATAATTTCGTTTTAATAAAAATAAAATTATACGTTTATATGCTTATTTTCCACAGAAGCTGTTTATATTAAAAATATTGAAAAAATAGAATAAAATCTTTTTTATTTTTATCATTTCTGTTTCAAATCTTTTTTTATCGTGCAATCCTTTCATTACTTCTGAGGTATAAAATTGTATTTTATTTTATATATTGCGAAGAATATTACTAAGGTCTCAGTGGTCTAAAGGCTCAGGACCCTTGCACGGAATGCTGGTTCGCAAGAAATCTGGGTTCGACCTCCCGGCTGAGATAATATTTTTTGCAATAAATAAATTTATTTACAGATTTCCATATTAAGGAGATACTGGAGTGACTAAATTATTGACATTACAGTTGTATAAAAATTCTTCGAATTGACTAAATGGAACAAAAAATCCTCTTGCGAAATTAAAGTAGACGCAAAATTAAAAGGTGGTGCAGTGGATCTTATATTAAAATCGAAAAGAAGTTAAAAAAATTACAATACTTAACTTTTTTTTATTTTAGTGTACAAAGTTCACTGCACTACCCCTTAATTTTGCGTCTACTTTAATCCAGTAAAAGGAATTTTGATTTCGCTCAGTTAATTCGGAGATTTTTATACGACTAATGGCGATAATTTGAGGTCACTCCAGCACTCCTTTAAGATCTCTTTACAGTAGCAATAATATTACAATTAAATTTAATGCTTTTTAGTTTGCATTTCTAAGTCCGGGGAAAAAAATTAATTCGGCGCGCAGCTCAAATGATCATAAATATAATATATATGTATATACATATATAGGATATACAAATTCACATGGAATTATTTAAGCATTAAAGATACAGCTTCGACCGTTATGAGTCTTTATTTCCTATTGGTGTTTTCACATATACGGTCCAATAAGATTTTTATTGTTTATATACTAAATATAAATGATAAATATGTAATATGTAATATAAGTTTTATATTCTTTGTAAAAAAAAATACTTTATATTAAATAAAAAATTAAATTGATTTATATATATTGCATTCTGTACTATATTAATAATCTATTAAAATCTTTATAAACACAAAATTTTTGTACAAAGATTCACAAGAAAACATTTTTATAAATGTATTGAAATTTTTTTTAACCAATATGGAAATATTGATTGTGATAATTTTAATATCTTTTACATATAAGCACCTTTATAATAGCATATAGATAAGTATATTATCGTACATTGCATTTTTACTTGCAAATTTTTTATTGCTCCCGTAAAATTTCGTCACTCAAGGACTAATAGGACAGAATAGCTTCTCCTTTGCAAAGATACGGGCTTTCACATTGAATTATTTTAACACGTCTATGCTATTTCGACAATGACGTGACTCCATCGTCCAAAACCAAATTTAATCGAGTACGGAAACGCAAGAGATAGACACGAAGAGAAAGGAGGTTGACACATCGTGTTGACCCGTACAAATTGGCACATATCTCGTGTGCGATTGGCAGGCAATTTGACAGACAAATTACAGAGATCGGCGAGGCTTTCTGTATTGAATGCTATGCAATCAGTCGACGCCGACAGACAATGAGTAGACACGAGTTGCTCTTGTGCAATTAATAATATTCTTTGGTCGATCGAATCTTCATTAAGCGCTAAATCAATTCAATGGTTAATAATTAAATCAGGATCGAATATTTGATTTTCTGTGATTGTTTTAAATTGCTATTTTCGTATTTTTCCTTTTTCATCCTTGTTAATATTGTAAAAACAGATAACTAAAAACTATTACAAGATAAAAACTGGTAGCAAACATAAAATTTCAGTAAGAATCAAACAAGTCCAGAAATTTTTTCTTCTTTTTTAAATGCGTCGTTCTTCATCAAAACTTTGTTCTTATATACACATTTTTGTTTATATCTTAGAAACGGTTGAGTTTTCGATCTTTACTTAGGCTTTTTTATTCAGTATGGTGTATTATCTACCATATAAATCTTGAATGGTTTTTTTTATCACCCTGTACACCTATTTGAAGAAAAATTACCACATTTATATAATAAACAGTTTGAAGATAAGAAGTTTTTTATTTCTCGAAAATTTATCTTCTTACTTGTTAGATTTGTTGCTTTTTGCGAAAAATTTTAATTATTGCAAAAATTCAATTATTGCAAAAAAAAAGACAGAACTTTTCTACTCAGTTTAATTTATTTTGTCTGCACACGAATGAAATAATTATTAAATATCTTGTATATATGGTTATACACAAAATATTTCGAAAAAAGCACAATTTCTTATATAATATAATGCACAATATATAACGTGATATGAGGTAATATTCGCAAATAACATGGCTAACGAGACTTTGACGTATAGTAATGTGAAAGGCTCAAGCTAATAGAAAGTTTTCTTGATATTTACAACGATCAATTGCAAAAGAAAAGTTGCCATGGTAATATGCATCCTGGAGAATACACAAATCTCAGCACGTGCAGTTGTCAGATCGATAAATGTCTTTTCTTGCAACCCAATCCCAGATCTCAGATTCTTTAGAGCAAAGAGACAACGCAGATAACATTAATGCTGTCGATATAGGATTACGAATATTAAAGAAATAGAGAAATAATGATAAATTCTGAAACGAGCTTGAATTTAATTAAAATTCTCTTATACTTTTCTCTTATATATATATATATATATCTTCATAATTATAATATTACATATCTGAATAGCTGGATTTATAGATATATTTTGAAGTTAAATAATATAAAAATTAATATTAATAATAATAATTATTATATTTGTTTCCTATTAAATGTTAACTATAATAAAAAAGAGGATTCTTTAATTCTTAACGTAAACTAATTTCTTAACTGACTCTTTATTAAAATCTTAATTAGAAAAAAATTAACTGAGTTCATTAAACGATACCGTTATTTCTGATTCTTAACAATCTGCATCGCATATTATTTGCGGAATCAATATTCTTTTTATGATGACATAGAAGCATACATAGAACTTGATCTCTTGCTCGACGCACATTTCTCGTACATGAGAAATAAAAGCGTTACATTCCTAACGACCGGAATAATAAATATTCGTAAAACAACGAGGGTCAACCGCGTAGCAATATGGTCGGTAAGACGAGTCTTGTTTCGGTACATTTACGGCTTCCTAGGGCGTGACTCGAAAATAACGTCTATAAAGGAAGTCCATGAGGCGGACGTCATTGTAACGGCCACAACTGACGCACATTAAACGAGATGAATACGAGTTTAGAGCAGCACTACACCTTTACGCGATTTTGTTAGAATACTAGCATCTTTTTGCAGAATAGTATTATATTACTACGACCAACCATAAAGAATTATTTTTACATGTACTTTTTTTTAATAAATTATACACAATATGTGTATTTACATATGTCTTTTAAATTTTCAGATCAGTCAATAAAATGCGATTCCATGTATCAATAATGCAATTCAATAATATATCTATCATATACAAAAGAATTAAATTAGATTTTATTACTTTTTAAACTTAATTTTTTAATAAAAAATCAAATATAAGGCCAAATAACGATTAGATTAAAACTCTGAAACTAGATACATATAATATTTACAGTCTTCTGACAATTCATATTACAAATATATGTATACCAGAATATGTTAAATTTCATATATGTATATTATGTCTCAAACTTATAAAATATCTATCAATTTATTGATATTTATGAATATATAATGTTATATACGCACCTGTGTTGGTAAAACTATGAGAGCCACGCAGATCATAATGACCATATAAAGTTGCGAAGGCCAAATGTCCGGTACGATATCCCCATAGCCCACCGTGGAGAATGTAACCACAACGTAGTACGTACTTTGAAATAGATTCAAATGCCTGTGCCCTGCTCTCTGGAAATGCTGGATCCCGCATACGCTGAAATGGAACATTTATCGGATCACCCTACGATTAATCGACGATGGCTATGAAAGCAGATATCGGGACAGTTGTAATTATTTTACATGCATCCTACATAAAGCTACGTCATTTATAACTGAATGCTGCTGGATTGTAATTAACGTAAATTCACGATTTCTGTAGTCTCGCCGTTCTGCAGACGATGTTGCCTGCATTTAAACTGCAAGCCATTGAGAATCAGGAATTTATAGTCATTCACTTGAGAGCATGTATATACAAACCATAATTTGAGCCATTAATAATTACAAAATAATTTTCTTCATCGTTGCATGTTTATAATGATAATTACAAAATAATAAATTTTCAAAAACTAAGTATTATTGTTTAAATATAAGTAAATTTGGATTTTCTAATAGCTATAATTTTCAATAGATAATATACTCAATTCTTAAATATATAGGTATATGTATTTATTTGTTACGTATTTATACGTTTTACTAAAATAAAATACATAATGCGTTTTAATTCTATGCTTGTATTTATCTAACTATGTATTTATCTTAAACTATACAGTTTGTAGAGAAGTATAAATTAATTATTTAATTAAAATGGAATCACAATATATCGATTACAAAATAAAAAACGTTAAAAAATTTTTGCGATAATAATTGTATGTTATATAAACTGAAAATACATTAAAAAGTATATTACAATAGAAATTAATATTCAACAGTACGTTTTGGGATATATTATTTTCAAAATAAAAAATTATTGCCGGATTTTCCTCGGTGCACAGAGAATAAATTGTTTATATGAACTTTTGCAATTTTTTACGGTTAAATAACAAAATATTTATTTATGTATAACAGTTATAAATATCTGAGAACAAATTATAACATAGAGACTAAACTACATATTTTAGAAACATTGTCAAATGCAAATGCTTGCAACTTGTAAATTTATTTGTGCGTTTAATATTTTTAATAATAAACTATTAAATTTAAAATTTTAATTAAAATTTTGACGGGTTATAGTACATGTTTTTTATGTTATAAATTTTTATCACTAACCTCAACCATGTATTTTGTAAATAACAATTTAATTATCTATAGTTGAATAATTTTCGTTATTCATTTTACATTGATAAAGATTTTCAGTCGATAAACTTTTTTCTTTTCATCAAATCAATTAACGTATGATTACACACTAGCTGTTAGCAGATTTGTAAAAACCAATTAGCATAACGCAATTAGCGTAACGAACTTCGGTTGCTTCTTAATTAATCCGTCGTCGACTTCCGATCTAAGCAAACAGATTTATGTTACTCGACGAAGAGCATCTTTCCTTTCGCAATTTTTCATTCGGTAACTCCTCTCGCCGTAACGAAATGAATGCACAATTAGCCTGACCACTCGAAGCGAGATAAAACGGCACCCTCGATCATTCTTCGATCGTAACGGAATTGATGTAACGGCGCGGTGCAAGAAAAGGAAGAGATTGAACCTGATTGCGAGGAAACCATCGCCTAGTATAAACCGACCGGCGTTTATAAACGGCCCGATATCCATTATGCATACGGCCCCATTTCTATATCTATATCGACGTATATATTTGTGCACCTTGTTCATTTTTCCTCCCTTCCTTTATCCGCTTGCACCATCGCACCATCGTGCTTCCGTTTGACGTGTCGTGACAATCGAGCGTGCCCCATCGCACGTTAATTAACAACAAATGGATCGATGCTATTTCATATATTTCACTAGTATACTAAATATAGCATATCATAAATACACAGCTATTCTATTGCGAACATGTTTTATGCATGATCGAATTGACTTGCAACTTTTACCATTTGTTAAAAATATAATTTCATAAATATGCAACATATATTAGTAATTACACAGCAAATCGTCATTGTTTTTTATTGGTTTTAACTACTTATCAATATAAACTGAAATATTATTTTCTATTTAATTATAATTTTCTAATAATAGAACTTTAGGTACAGTATCCATTGTAATCGTTTGCGTAATTCTTTTTTTGCCGATCTCTTATTCTATTATTATGTGATGTTGGTTTAAAAAATATAGATTAAAAATAACACCTAATATGTTTTTAAATAAACTACAACAATGTAAATTTCTGTAAGAACTTACACTGGATATTCATGTTATAAATTTTATTAGATATATGTATTAAAAAATACTAATCTGAAATTATTTATTTTAGATTTAGATTAGTGTCTTTTATAAAACACCCAATATGTTTTTGCAGGCATTTACATTGTTGTGATTTATATTCTTTAGAATTATATTGTACGTCTTTTAAATACCTACATTTTTAAGGATGTATCTGAATCATTTTTACATATGTAACATTATACTTTATTGTATTAACATTTATACTTTACACAAACTATATACATATAAAAATTATGTTCATAACATTCTGTATTTATTATTAAATAACACATTTTTATATTTTATTTATATTGTTTGTTATTATATATGTTCTTATTGTATAAACCAAAATTTAAAAAATGATAACAAAAATCTAAATTTTTTAAATAAATACTTTAAGTATTGAAAATAATAAATAACTTATGCAAAGTTTCATTGTGATTCACTGATTAGTTACAAAGAACAAATAAATATTTTGTTTATTTACTGGACAACTAGTTTATGCAATGTAATTTTACATAAGTAATCTTAAATATTATATATAAAGTACACTTATATAAAAAATTGAGACTTTCGTTATTTATTTTATAATATATTTACACACATACACACACACACACATTTCTATATGAGAGCACAGATTTAAAAAAGTACTACTACTTATTTTTTAAAATAACTTATGATCCAGATAATAAACCGTCACAAAAAAATTTGTTATTATTTTTAAGTGCGATTTAAAATAATCTATAATTTTTTCATAACTTTCTTATCATTTTGAAATATCTCAGCTACATCCTTAAAAATATGTATTAAATATTGACAATTATCCTTTTATTACATGATTATGTTTTAATAAGTTCAAAGATTTATATGCTTTTTGATGTAATAAAAATCTATCAAATTTATAATTCAATATATATAATTATTAATTAATAAATGTATTACAAGAATATGTATAAAATTTTATAGTTATAATTATATAGAAAAATTAAAATGTTAGAATATGTATTTTCAAAAGGCGGCTCTGAAAAGCGTCGAATGTGAGAAGATATTACAGTGAGAATAAAAAAAACCGTCATTTTATCTTCAACATCTCTATACGTCAGTTTGCTGAGTTTTCGCGTACGAACCGATAATAAAGTCACACATTTTAAAATTTTCATTGTTCCCTATTCAAACGCCGTGGTTTGTTAGTAACGTTTTCACTAACGAATCTCGTCGGCGTGTACGTGACGGTTTCAATTCAATCAAACATTATTATTTCACGAAAACAAGTGACATAATCGAGATAAATTCTTCACTGTCCGTTAAAAGAGAGTCGTTAAAAATTGTGTCTCAAAGCTCTCTTCACTTCATTTCAACAGGATGAGTTTTTTAATTTTATTTATAGGATAAAAAGTTTTAAAGACATTCAGGTACTTTTTAAAATTAATATTAATAAAGAATTTGAGATTCTTTACAATTTTTAGACATCTGTACATATGTATGTAGGTAGGTACTTATGATATAACTTTTTAAAAACATTTTTTGATTTTTTTGAAAATAATATTACTTATTTAATACACGTCATTTTAATTTTACAATTATAAATGTAAAGTGTACTTCATGCAATTTACTTGCAATACAACTGTATGCTTGTTCTATTAATTTTGAAGGGAATTTATTTTAATCATCTAACAGCTAGCAGATATTCCACTAATAAACAGTTAGTCCAAATAACTTCTACCTATTCGGGATAATATTAATGTTTATTTCTAATAATAATTAATAGTTAATGTTAATTAATGATTAAAGACTTTGTGTAAATGTAAAAATATTTACATTTTTAATTACAAACTTAAAAAACTTAACGATTGCATAATGACATTTATAGTTAGAATAAGGAAAACAAAATTAGATGCTATAATAATAATAATTAGCCTAATTAGTATAAAGTGTTGTATTAAATAACAAGTGCTATGATAGCATAAAGCTGTAAAAGGTAAACTTGCATATCATTAAGGATAATGAAATGTATGCCAAGATGAGAATAAAATTTGTATGCACAAAGGTTAGTGACATGATATTCTGTCTGTATATAACACTTTTTCAAAATAATTAAAGGTAAAATATTGATATAAAGAGTATCAATATTTTTTTCTATTTATCACGTAAACTAAACAATAGTATATGTCTTAAAAATATTTATAAATTGAATATCACAAAAGACCTAAAAATCTTCTTTATAAAGTATTAAATTAATGAAACTACAATTTTACGAAAAACTTGATTTTCTTGCTATTACTTCCAAAAAAATTTTTTATTTTGTTTGGAAGTTAAATCAATAACGTTACCATTTACGAAAAGAGTGTCGTAGGAATTTTTAAAAAAACTTGTTTGATTTTCACCAAATCATGACAAAACGTGATTTTTTTTAAAGTAACATTTTTTAAAATTATTTATAATTTTTAAGAAAATTAATTTTTTGCAACTTTTTATGCGTCGGTTTCTCAAAAAATTTTTCAAAATTACGTTTATAAAAACTTTTTATCATATATCTTTAATCCTCAACAGTCTTCGATTAATAGCAAGCATTTTACTGGAAGCATCTTTTTCCGTGCGCAAATATCCTATAATTTCGTAACTCCTTCCAATAGCCAATCACTCATTCTTTTCTGTATATTTCTTTGGGTCTCGGTAATAAGTGCGACGACTTTTTTCGATGCACCGCAACGCAGATTCGTTGTACCGTCGCAACCGTGCTACACTTTACTCCTTGTCCTTGCGTAGATAATATGGCTGTGCAAGGGCGAGCTGGCAAGTGCGCCGCTCTAGAATCACACCGTAAATAATAAAGCGTCGCGATCGATGGTGATACCAATCCATCTGCACAAGCCAGTGTGCGATTATTTATTAACGCCTGTCCCACATTGCGATCTGGGTCGATCAGGTGTGTTTCGTCATTTCCTCACTCGTCCCTAACATTGTAGAAGGACAGCTACTGGTTGCAATAATTCGTTCGTTTCTATATGTTAAATTAATTCTAAAGTGATTTACCAAGAGAGATCTATGCATTTTTATTCTTTTTTTTTTCATATTCAATATAATATGTGTGCATAATAACGTAAAATGTAAACTCTATGCATGATCGCATAAAAAAAAGATGAAATAATGAAAGTGATCAATACAATCTTGTTTCTGTATCTTTCCGTTTTGAATAAAATCGCTGGTGACATACTATCACGATGGATGCTATAATGATACTGATACTTCAGATTAATGAAATGTGTTTATTATTATCATCAGAATGATCGGATGATATAAAGATCTTCAATTATGTTGACAGACATCTGAGATTTAAAATATTGTAATATATAATATAAATATTAGAAAAGGCGTAGGCATAGTAAAAACATTTGTGTTATAAGTTCCATTAAGTCCTTGTTAAAATTTTGTGTCGAATTTTTAATAAATCCAAGTATTAATTTAATATAATTGATTATGTTATTCGAATATTATGTTAAACTGATGTTCAACATTTCTTAGTATCAAAATAATACAATTTATGAGTAAGAAAAAACATAAAATAATGTTTTTGAAAATATAAATTTTAAGATAAGTGAATAGAAATATTAATTTAATATATCATAAATGTTAAGTCTAACGAATACAATTGCTTACAAATTGTTTCAGTGTTACATTTTTGCGTTAACTTTTTTATATAATATTTATGTTACTTTCTAGCATATTCATCTTGTGTTACATTAACACAAAAATTTGAGTGAACCATTTAAGTGATGTGAAATGTGTTAAATTCAATACAAATTCTCCAATTGTGCATGTAATAAATATTGTATATTAAATGTGAAAAATGTTTGAAAATGCAATAATAAAATTAAAAAATTATAATTCTTTTAATATTTTTTGTTAACGTAATGTTATTAAAAATACATATTATATATCAGATCGTTTAAATACGATTAGTAAAAATCAGTTATTAATAAATGTCATAAACTTTTCCATTTTGCTTAAACAATATTAAAAATTAGAAAAGAGAGAACCACAGTTCGTTTTTCAAAATAACAAGATTGTATGTGCAGTGCAACGTGTTTCGCAAATTTTCCAATAGTTTGTCTTAATGTCCTAATCCTTACGTATGCCAAAATTCTTATGATTTATAGTTAAAGTGGTAAACGGTATCGGATGCATGTGATGAATTGTTATTTTTTTCGTAGTTACGACGCAAATCGCTATCCGTTCAAAAGTTTGTGTATAAATTCATAGAATTTTTTTTCATATTGTAGAACGGCAGCTGCAAATTACTCGCGGTTTACAACATCACGTCTATATGCGATGACGATTGATGTTACGAATTCCACCCTGTGCGTATGACAGGCATTTGTTTTTTTTTGCACCTGCAGTCGATATCAATTTTTGGTAACCCGTGGCAAATCTTTTTCAGCTACAAATCACATTTTTTCACGCTGCAAATTGCTCATCGCGACATTTCATTCTGTCTATAGGATGACACATAGAAAATTTAATTTAATTTTTAAGAGTTCTTAAATATTAATTTTTTATATATGTACATATATACTGCTAATACATTTATTAATTCATACATATATATATAATAAATATATTAAAAATTATAATTTCTCTGTTGTGTAGATTAAATATTTTTAATTTATCATATAAGTAAATGAAGATTATCGGAACTTGCTTTTATTAAAAAAAATATGTTTGCACAAAAGATTATTTAAGAATTTATAATTATTTAATATTTCTTAGCATTTTTCTCTTCCTTTCTCTCTCTCTCTCTCTCTCTCTTTCTCTGCTTTTCTTTTTTTTTTTGTTATCATTACTATTATATTTCAATATGCTGATTATTAATTTATTGAATGTTAGTTAAACTTAAGGAAGTATTTGTAATATAGTAAAAATGGCAAAGGTCATACATGCAAACTATTCATTCATTTTCGTAATCTAAGCTTTCTCTGCCCGTGGTTTACAGATATAACTTTATTAGAAGATTAAACAAGACGAACCGCAGTCATCTTCGGCTTGGATTCGTAAATACGAACTCGTACTTCAGGTGGAAAACTTTTCTCGTTATTCAGATAATACAATAAGTCCTGCACGCTGACAAATGAAATACGTTCGTTATGTAAACTTAAATAACGTGCGAATGCCATGGTGAAAACTTCATTACGGCAATGTTACGACTTAAGTCTATTACGAATATCAATTCACGATTGTTTGCATGTATGTTACTGCAAATCTGTTGCTTTAAATCAATCTTGAAGTAGACATTATATTTTGCACTATTAATAGTATTAATTCAACAAAATTGATATATCTATGCATGAATATATTACATGCTGAATTAATATTACTGCTTTAAATAATAAATCTGCTAACAATTAAGATATTATAATATTTCTGATTAAATCCAAATTAACTTTTATTCAACAATATTCAATTTCATATGATTGCAATTATCATCCTATAATATAATATTGAGTCGGGATAAAAGCAATTCATAGCACTACGAATTTCAAAATTCAAACAATTATAACTTCATTAAAAATGATTTAAATTTAAATTTTACAAAAGATTGAAGCTTAAAATCACTACTTTCGAAAGTCACTATGAGTTTCTATAAGTTTGGTAATGTTTATATATAGAAAACTACGAGTTGGACAAAGTGGAAAATTTTGTTCTCACTTTGTGAGACTGTCACATATAAAAAAAAATACTTGTGAAAATTTTAAACTTTCTAACAAAAACTCAAAGTTTTTCTACAAAATCGATTTTTTAAAATGTTCTCGAGATTTTTGTTATTGAATTATCGCAGATTAAATAAAAAGAGCATTTTGATTTTGATTGTTCATAACTTCGTTAAAAATCATTCTACTGAAATTAAGAAAACACAGTTTTACAGTTGAAACTTTGCTCTATCAAATAATATAATTGCTAATTTTTTTTAACATATAAGCGTGATGCAAATAAAGTAGTGCCCACGCTAAGAACTTTCGTCTCGACTCAATATTATATATGTATAATTAAACAATTTTTTCCACAATATTTTATTTTCTATATAAAAGGTCTATATAAAAGATCTATAATATAACAAAGTTAACTATATAAAAGTTCTATAAAAACTTTCACAAATAATTTATTCAGCCGAATTAAAAAATTGTATATCTTTTCATATGCAATTTTTTAATTCGGGTGAATAAGTTATTTATACATAATGGCCAACTAAAAATTCAAGAATATTGGAGCACTCTTCAGTTAGTTCTTCCTAAAATAGGAATATTATTTCCTGAAACTTAAACTATTCTACTAGAAATGTATCTTTGATGAACGAATAAGTAGGACAAAGCGAGCAGTACGAACTTACTTTGCAAGTCTATTCGCGAATAATTATCTCTGTTAATTATAATAGTTCCAAAACATTTATGATACCCAAAGTATCATAAATGCCTAATTGAAACAATTAAATAATTTATTGTATAGATACATAAAGAATAGTATTTCTGAGTTTTTACTTCATATATTGTAAGATCATATATTGTAAGAGAAAAAAGTAAAAAACGAGTAAAGACGTAGAAAATTATAATGTCTTAGTTATATATTTTTAAAAATACAAATATGTAATAAATATTTTATTTGAAAGAACTCACCTAGTAAAGACAAGGCACAGTAACGTAGCACTAAGGATCATCAGCTGTTGACTCAATGCCGATTGAGACTTCTGCATTGCTCGGTGTAGGTCGTTCTGAAATGTAATTACATCGACCGCAAATCAAATTTAAGCTTGACGTAAATTATGGCTAGATTGAATGAGATACTTACAAACATGTTTTCCAAAGAGTGCTTTGCCAACCAGCAATTTAGGAACACCGGAATGAACAGATTTCTCATTGGTGGGTATAATAACTGCAAATATTATATAGAAATATCTTCAGTTATACCATTTATTATAATATTCTATCCGTTGTAAATTGTAATTAATACTCTGCACTTTCATTGGTTTGTAAATTTATTACGGATTTAATTAGCTCTAATTTTTTTAATTTAATCGCTTTAATTAAAACGTAATATATTCCTCTAAGTCAACAAATTATTTATTTAAAAAATTAAGTTTAATATCATATTATTTTCGATTGATTTAATTAATATAGAATAATGTTTTTTTATAATTAAATGTCGATAACAAAAAAATCATTTTGATGTAGGTATACATAAATTATAATGCGTAATAAAATTACGCATGTATGTTTATATTATACATGCTTAAATTCTTCTTCGCGAACAATTCTGAATTATATTGTCCCTACATGTACTTATTGAGGAGAACATTTAATCTCTCTCTTCTTGTGAATCATAATAATTAACTCGATCATTAGTTCGACAAGCATTTGTGCTATGATTGTGTATGAGGACCATAAATGCTATGTCTGCTATTTGCTTTTACAGATATTTATGGTGTAAACATCAATGTGGCTGCTTGGTTTGAACATAAATTTGTTCATTGTGCTTACTTTGCAGCATCAAAGATTCACATCATATTACCTAGACAACAGAGCATACGTTTGCATAGTAAACTCTAGCAAGTGCACTTAGTTTTAATGAAATTTCACTGTAATTTTAAAATGTCATATATCTAATTACATATATCGTTAACAGTTTAAGTATATATTCCTGAAACATTTTTCTCATCATATTTTCTCTTTTTTATTGCAGAATTCAGTTCCTTCATTTTATATATACGTACACATATTTTGTGTCTTTTATTTCAAAATTCAACAGAAGAGAGTAAAGATAAGAATTTAGAAAATTATAAGATAAGATTATTGTTATTTTTTTCGAAATTACTTTTTTTAATTTCATTAATTTTTTACAAATGTATGTTAATTTAAATACAATTAAATAATTGTTATTTTCTTAAAAATTAATATTAAATAATTATAATGTTATGTAAAGTTAATTAACAATATTTATTCTTAGAATGCTATTTTAAAACTTCAATTCTCTTTATAACTGCGATTTTCACATTTTTATGGTACGATGTTTATAAATAGATATAACTATATAGAAATTTATATATCTAGTTTACACGTCACTGCGTAATCCAAAATTAATGAGATTAAGTTAATTAAATTCCAAAGCGCAATAACTATGCACGTAATGTCGTTACGTATTGTCCATTGTGAAATAAAGGTTATTCCCTATGGGACATGTAAAAATCGATACATACATCATAGTCAAGTGTATGCAACTTGATACGAATAAAGTTCATATATTTTCACGCGAATACGACTTACGTAACATATATGTATATATATTATACATACATATATGTATAGGTATATATACACTTTAAAAATTTTTTATTGTATTTTGTAACATTTCAACTCTTAACTATAAAATTGACAATTACTATTTATTTAAATTATTTATTAAGATTTCTTGATAAATAATTAATATTTAAGAAAATAGATATATTAGAAACAAATACATATAAAATTACAGATATTCAGAAAAATTAAACAATTCGTTTGTAATTTTAAAGAAATTATAGTCTATTTTGCATATTTCTTTAATCTACTTTAAAATGCATACATTAATATTTGTACAAATTAGCGATCTGACAATTTATTTATATGGAATCGAACGAAATTTGTTGTAAAATAAAAAATGTATATAGAAAGGTATACATTATTAGTAATGCATTATTTATTTTATTATTGCTTAATTAAAATAAATGTTAAAAGTAGAAAGCGCAAATATAATTTTCTTAAGGACTTACCGTGATTGTGAACGGGATCGTGTTGACCAGTTCCAGGATGAAATGGAAGGATAGAAGCTGCTGCCAGACATTTCCCTGTGAACATTACGAAGACAGCTCAACATACCCAGCGACAATTTTATCAAAGTAGGAACTGTGAATAACGTTTCAAAAGTAAACATGCGCTTCGCTGTTCTGCATTTTCCAAAGCAGCTTTGTAAATACTATGAACACAAATACGCACTAATAAATCTAAGAAATTTAGGAGTTTAAGAGATCCTCGCAACCTATTTTTATTCATAAAATTATTTTTTATTCATGATTATTATTATAAAGTATCTTGTACAGTTAATAGTAAGTTTCATGTATAATCAAGTGTTTAAAATCAACTTTATAATTTTATAATTTTAAAAAAACTTCTATCAGCAAAAATCACATGTTTTATACCTACATTGTTATACACGTATTATTCGCTGTGCACGTAATAATAAACAAAAACAATGATTTATTTAATTATTTTTCTTAAAAACTTTGTACTCAATATTACTTTACTTAATCACCAAAACAATTTCTACGTTTAAATCACGGCATGCTGAGTATAAAAGCGTAAGAAATTACTCGAGAAGATTAATCGGAAATTATATCTTCTAGATTGCTTCATAAAAAATATCATTTGCCGCATCAGCGCCAGCAATAATTAACTTCAGTCGCAAGACAGAAAAAATGAATACGTGCATAATCAGATCAAGAACTTCTTCGTCTCATCGTTGGACTCATCGGACTGACTCGATGTAGATACATCTCTTGCACTTCGTTTAGAACGTGACGCGCATATTACATTTTTACTTAAACCACAGCCTTTCATCGTATTATACGTCTCTTTGATGTTAACGACTGACTTTTTAGCACGATAGATGATAAAAGTTTTGCATTTATAATATATCAAGTAAATTTTTAATTAAGACAGGAAACAGCTTTTATATATATACTATATATATATGTATACGTATATACAAAGATATTTATAATTGAATTTTTTTATAAAAAAATAAAAGCTAATTTCGTTGCCAAATCAACTTTTATTATTTTTTTTAGTCTCTTTATAGAATTCCCAACATAACATATTATAATATTGCTAAAATTATATCTCGAATACATCAATTCAATAATATAATATATTTTCGCGTTCTATTATGTATAAGATATAACATAACTTGAAAAATTTATATTATAGATTAAAATTTGAGAAATTAAACTAACTCAAATAATTTTAAACGGTATTCATTTATGCGAACGTCCTAAATAATGCCGCGTCTTGAAACACTTACTAATTACCATCTCGTTTTATCACGGAATATTCAACAGCAATTAACAGTATATATACTTTACTGATGCTTCATGATATATATAGACAGAATATACGTTAAGTTCTATCTATCAGCCTTTTTCATCCATGTTTATTATCTTAAATCATCTTATATAATAAAATAATCGTCATATAGATAATATTATAAATACATGATACATTTCACGCGATATTAAGTTGTATCTTTTATTTTAAAATTATCTTGCAAGATAGTTTTCGAGATGATATATTTTATCCTGTTCAAATTAACTTATTTTAACTTATAATTAATACTTATACACTTATTAATATCTAATCATTATTTTAATAGAACAAGTATAAAATAAATTTTATTTTCTGATACTTTTCAAGTTGTTAAATTCGAAGAGAAGAAAGATAGGTATATCACATTAGAAATAATGTAAAATATAATATCTATATACTATTGCATAAAAATATTTAAAAAATAATTTATAATAGTTACTATTATAACTCCATAATAACTATATAGCATATATTACAATTTTAATAATAAAATTGATACGCGCGCGCGCGCGCGCCTATTCAAAATTAATATTGATTAATTAATATTTTTAATAAATGTAATATTATTTTGTACATTGGTGTAAAATATATATTTATTTCGATGCACTTTAATAATCCGAATTTACCTTTAACTTTAACAATCGAATTTTCATATTATATCTTAATTTAATGTACAATTTTTTAAAATTTTTGCAGGTGGAATGGAAAATTTATAAAAACCGAAAATAACGCAGCTTAAATACAATTAGGACAATATTGCACAGAGTATTTTAAATAATCGTTGATCCTGTCTTACCTTCTTCAACTCGTTTTATTCGACGTGACAAAAAATAACGGAAAATCTCCAGGCGAAAAACATGTCACTTGTATCAGATTACCTAAATCTAAAGGACTCTCACGTGTCTTCACAAATCCTTCATTTTAGCTCTATAGCCAGCTGAAATTCCTTTGGGAAAGTGTTCGATAAATCAATAGATTCGTATGCTTACACCCCAAGCGATTTTATCGATCTCTCAACGATTACGAGAAAATTTACCACAATGTATCCTGATGAGGAGTTCCTTCGAATCTTTGACCATTGGGTCAGTAAAGATTCATTTATATGCGACTCATTCGTATCTGCTTTTCTCTTCATGACGATAAGCTTAACTTAGGTTTTCTAACACGCGCATTCGATTAACTTTATCCAATTAATCTTCAAATAACAATTTCGAGTAACTTAATTAGATTGCAGCTAATAATAGAAGCAACACATTTTTCATATAACGACAAAGAATTATGACCAGTGGACATATTGTACTATAGTGACATACATATAGCAAGTACCTACTTATTTTTTTGTTAACTTTGTTTAAAGATTAAGTTATTATTTCCACACGATATGGGTTCTCCTATAAATATTTCTAATGAAAAATTGAAAAGATTAAAAACATGGATTAAGTTACATAAATGCCGTTATTAGTTACAGTTAAAATTGGAAATTTTGTTACTTTTATTTATTCTTCAATGCGACTAAATCTTACGAAAACAATTTTTCTATATCTAAAATGATCTACTTTGTGCAAGTTGCTATCTTACTGATTTCATGATGCATCAATTTCCGAATGCAATCACCGTCGCTGGGTAATAAAGAAGTGCGAAAAGAAAGATCCTCGAGGAAAATATAAATTTTGCATTGGCTTTTGTCGATGCTCTTATTATGAATTGGCCTTTTATTATAAATATTAAACCTTATATATATTTCTTTTACGTACAAAGAGATGAATTATTTTATTTGATTATTTGTCATATTGTCAAAACTTAAAAAATATATAATTTATAAAATTTAAGAAAAATAAAAACTCGAGTACATTATTATTTATCTTGTTAATAATTGTTAGGAAATAATCATTAATGCAAAATTAATTATTTTATTTAAAGTATTGTGTCAATCAAAATACGTTTCTTACAATTATAATCTTAATATTTGATTGACGTTAAAATTTAAATTTTTATTTATAATTACGTGACTATAATTAAAAATTATTAATCATTTATGTTTTTCAAAGAAAACATTTTAATCAAAGCTAAATTTGACTCTAATCATATTTACAGAATCCAAATGTAATTCTATTTCTATTGATTTTGTGTGTGTGTGTGTGTTATTATCGTTTTGTTTCTTTAAATATAATAAAATTTTTATAAATTTTTTGCAATATCTACTTTTTCATATGTGGTTTTATTTTCATCAGAAAAATGATCGTCATTCCGGAAAGAAATTGGCAATGCAACAGCCATGCTCATCTCTTAATGGAGAGTCTCTACGGAGAAATCACCCTTTTTTTTCTACTGAGGCAATAACGCAGCTTAAAGCTCCACAGAGGCTGCAGACGATAACCGGATGAACTTTTTCGAAAACTCCATGACTATTAATATCCGCTTCCGGGATTTACAAACTGTTGGTTACATTGGCAAACGCAATTTAAAAGAGTACATCGACAAAAAAGATAGACTAAGGTTTCAAGTTCTCTCTCAATATTACGCTTTGCAATCTTATGAACAAGATTATCAGTAGCACGTTTAATAGTAACGCACATTATAAATAGCACGTAGCAGAAATGTTTTTTGAGACAAAAATTTAATAATACGATCGCAAAAAGAATTCTTTTTTAACAGATTAATATAAACAAATATTTATAATATTTAGCTTAAATAAAATCATTTATTTTTTACTGCATTTAAGAAGCTTAAAGAAAAACAATCAGTTTTAATTTCTGGTTTTGTGTTAATTTTTAAAATATTTTTGTCAATGTCCAAATCATATCTTCTTTTAAGACTCTCTACTTATCGATATAGTTTTCAGCCTTCCATTTTCATCTCTTCGTTGAACTTAATATTTTCCAAATCTGCTTTTAGTAAAATGAATCCGCAATAGTTTCCTACAATTAGCTTTAAATGTTTAATTTGCCACAAAACGTAAGATAATCTTAGGCGCAATCATGCAACTAATGACTCTTTAGATTTCCATTTGTGCGACATCCTCATTTCCTCTCAAAATTTGATAAGGGAGATCTTTAGAACTTCGCAAATCCCCAGAATGGTAGGCGAAAACATCGCCGAAGAGAATAAGGGATGATTGAAAGCGGATGTGAGCGTTGATCCGTATAAAAATTCAACGTTCTATGACCATTCATCATAAATTAGATCATAATCTTTATTTTGCATGAGATAATGAACTTATTATACGTGGCCAATGCATCGTATTGCACAGCGCTGACATCGCATTCGCGTATTAACTTGCTAATTTCGGTATCCGACAGATTCCAAAGGAGCTTCGACACCAAACCGTACCGCAACTCACGGCTAAACTCACAAACAAGGGAACTTGATGCGATTTTGCGAACCGCCTCTGTTGTTGTCAACTCAAGATGGCTCCTGCAACCGCAACATTGGTAACCGCACGCTGGTGTGACACACACACACACCGAGGGATGCTATATACAATTTAATAGAATATCTACTACTTTTTGTTGGTTACTTTTGTGGTAAAAAAAATCGCTACTTCACTTATTGATATTTTTCGCAATCGTTTTTTCTTAATTATTATTGACAATTTTGATACTTAAAGACACAGTTGCTAAAAGTTATTTGTGCTTGTGTTATTATATATCAAATATAAAAGTATTAATTAATATATTAAATTTTATATCTTTACTAAAGTCTATTT